CCCGCCACCGATGCGATCGTGTTGGCAGCCATGCGCACGGCGTCGGCAAGCTGGTTGTCGACCACATCAACGTCCTTGGAGAATCGGTTCATGATACGTCCGATCGGCGTCACATCGAGCCACGCCATGGGCGCATACACGACGCGCTGGATCGCCTCGTGATGCAGCCGCTTGCACGCGTAGTAGCTGAGGAAGCCCATCGCACAGCCCATGACGAACGTCAGGATGGTGACCACGATGCCGAGCATGGCGTAGATGCCCATGTAGAAGCCGATGCTCTTGTCAAAGTGGTTCTTCTGCCACCAGATGAGCCAGTACGAGTTGAGGATGTTGGTCGTCTGCATGAGCGCCAGACTGCCCACGCACAGCGGCACCATGTAGGCGCCGCGGCCGAACTTGAAGTACGAGAGGTAGACCTGAAGCGAGACCGAGCCAGTGTTTCGCTCCTCGGCCTGCATCGTCGCACCCGCCTTTTCTCCAGCCTTGCCGCCAGAGAGGTGGTTGCGGTCCACCTTCTTGCCCTTCTTGGAGTCGTCGACCGAGTCCTCGATGGCCTCGGCCTCATCTTCCTTCTTCTCTTCCTCGTCCTTCTCCTTCTCGCCGCCGAATTCGAGGACGAGTCGCTGGAAGGGACCGTTGGCCGTGTTGAGCTGGTCGTACGTGCCCATCTCGGCGATGTGGCCGTCTTCGAGCGTGATGATGCGGTCGACGTCCGGAAGGAAGTGGAGTGCGTGCGTGACGAGCAGCACGGTGGTGCCCTTGGCGCGCAGACTCATGATGGCGTTGTAGAAGAGCGCCTTGCCTACGTGAGCATCGACGGCCGAGAGCGGGTCGTCGAGACAGACGATCTCGGCGTTGTAGTAGAGGGCACGCGCGATGTTGACACGCTGCTTCTGACCACCACTGAGGTTGACACCCTTCTCGCCGATCTCGGTGAGGTCGCCGGCTGGAAGGATGGCCAGGTCCGCCTCGAGCTCCGAGACCTTGACAGCCTCCCAGTAGCGCTCCTCGTCGAACGGCTGGCCGAAGAGAATGTTGTCGCGCAGAGTAGCGTTCTGGATCCAGGCGCTCTGGGAGCAGTAGGCAACGCGCTCGCTGCCCCACTGCACCGAGCCGCCGGTCTGGCGCATCTCGCCGATGCACGCCTGAAGGAACGACGACTTGCCCGAGCCGACAGGGCCGACGATGGCGACGAGCTCGCCCTTGGGGATGGTCACATTGATGTGCGACATGGAGAAGGGTTCCTGCGCCGTCTCTTCGACCTTTTCGAGCGACTGCGCCTCGCCCACGGTGGGCTCGAGCTTGGCCACATCCAGCACGGCTTCGTTGTCGCCATCGGCTGCTGCGTCGCTCTGCTCGGCGCGGATCTGCTCCAGACGTCTACCGTTGTCAGTGTCGGGGAGCTTTGCCGTGACGGGAGCAGGAAGGCCTGGTGCGTTGGCCGCAGGGGGCGCGGCGGACTTCTTGGCGAAGTTCTTGGCCTTGCCAAACAGGCCCTTGCGGGATCCAGCGTTGGACTCGACGCCTTTGGGGGCGCTGCCTGCCTTCTTGGCAGCCGCTCCGTCCTTGCCCTTCTTCGCGGAAGGGAGCGCCTCGTCGGCCTCGACGGTCTCCCATCGGAAGGAGGCGTCGTGGACGATGAGGGCATGCTTGGAGTCTTCATCGTGCTCGACGGTGTCTTCGAGCTGTTCGGCGGTGAAGACGGTGTAGAGACGATCGAAGGCGTTCCTTGCATCCGTTGTCGCGGAGAGGGAGAGCGGCAAGAACATGAGGGGCATGCGGAGAAGCTGGAAGAGCGTGAGAGCGGGGAAGACGATGGCAGGGTTGAGATCGTGGCCGGTGAGGTTGTAGACGACGAAGGCAAGCACAGCAGCGAGGATGGGCAGACTGAATGCAAGAGCGATGTTGGCGGATCGGATGATGAGGATCTTGCGGATGCCGTTGAGCTCGTTCTTGCGGATGTCATAAATGCGCTGGAGGAACTTGGACTCGTGAGAGAAGGACTTGACGATGCGCATGCCGCCGAGTACCTCCTGGATGGTCTTTGCACGCGCGTCGGTCCACTTCATCGAGGCGCGTCGGATCTTGAAGAGCATCTTCATGGTCTGGAGCTGGATGGGCGTGGCTATGACGAAGATGGCGAGACCGGCCAGAGCGGAAGGTCCAAGCTGGGTGAGGAGGATGATGACGCAGATGATCATCTGGATGGGAGCGGCAAAGATGACAGTGAACCAGGCGGAGGCGAAGTCGATGCGGCTGCAATCGGTGGAGATGTGGTTGATGAGCTTTCCGCTGGATCGGGCTTTGCCGTTCATCTTCATGGCGCGGTCAAAGATGGCGGTGATGAGGGCGGCGCGCGCCTCGACGCCGCATGACATGGAACGCCAGAAGAACTGGTGGGTGCCGAGCGACGAGATGATCTGCATGAAGAAGAGGGCGAAAGAAAGACCGACGCCATGACCGACGGGGGGACCGGGAACGCCGCGAGCGTGAGCGGTGTAGAGCTCCTGAGCGTACTTGATGATGGCCTTGAGCACGAGCGGGGAGGTGATGAGCGAGGCGTCTCCTACGATCTTGAAGACGAGGCCGGACCAGAGCTTCCATGCGAGCTGGTCGTGCATGGCCCAGACGAGCGAGGGCTTCTTGTGTCCGGAAGGATCCTTCGGCAGCTTGGGCTTGCCAGGCTGAGGAGGTCCGGCGGCGGCAGCGGCAGGAGCGGGCCTTGGCGGCGCTCTCCATCTGGCTTCGCGCTGCTGGCGGCTGCCACCCTTGGGGTTGAGGGTAGAGGCAAGGGCCCATGAAGCACGAAGTTTCAGGCCGGGCTGGATCTCGTCAGAGACGAGCTTCTCGTTGTAAGCCTTAGCCTCGGCTACGCGTCGAGCCCAGTGTGCGTTGAGCTGGCCACCGAGCTGCTTGGCGCTGAGGTCTTCGGAAAGAGCCCAGAGATCGGTGGCTTCGAGGGGACGCTGGTAGCCGAGGATCATGATGGGGGTCATCCATTGGAAGAAGATGCGGTTGATGAGGCTTGCATTGGCAAGAGGAATGAGGCGGGCATCGTCGAGGCTGTTGGGTGGTGGAAGTGGCGGATTCTTGGGCCGCCAGACCTGGTACCACTTTTCCTTGTGCTTTCCGCCGACAAAGCTGCGGACGCCCGGGTTGTACTCGTAGCCGGGCTTCTCATCGGTGGCGATGGAAGGCTGTGCGGCCTGGTCGGTGGAAGCGACGGCGCTTTTGGAAGACTCGCTGTGGCTCTCGTCCTCGGTGTCGTGGACGACGGTGGGCGCAGGAGCGGGATGTGTAGAGGTCTCGACCGCAGCCGTCGCATGCGAGGCTGGGTCGGCCGTAGGTGGGGTTGAAGAGGAAGTGCCGGACATGGTTCAGAGAGCCGACAATGCAAACACCTGATGAGCGAGGACACTGATCAGGTGGTGAGTGTGAGAAGCGGCAGTCCAAGCTATTGCATCCGAGATTGTGTGTGGGCGATGACGCCGGAAAGCTGTGGATCGGGCAAGACTAGAAGCAAGGGTGAAGCGTGGCGTACGATCCCGGCTTGTGGTGGAAGAGGTCGAAGGCGACGTGATGTGACGTGAAGCGGACAGGTGTGCGCGAGACGGTGTGCTCAAGAGCAAATGGCGGCGGTGACGGTAGATGGAGGTAGTGAGAAGCGAAGGTGATGGAGGGAAGCAGTGAGAAAGGGAGGCCGCAGGGAGTCAAGTCGTCGGCCAGGCCGGGGGGATAGGTGGAAAGGAGAGCGGGAAACTGAGCGTGGACAAGAAGCAGGAACACGCACAGGCTGCGGAGAAGGGCGAGGGAAGGGGAGCGGCAGTCTAGGATCGCGAGCACAACGCCGCGGAGCAGACGACACCTCCGAGACCGGCACAGAGCGACGCGCGTCGGCAAAGCATGAGAGCACATGGTGTCTTGAATCTTTTTGGGCTGTGCCGTTTCTGTGCTCTCAATCCGCCCTTCAGCTCAGTTGCATCGCTTGAATTCACGCCAGCTTCGTCAGCTTGGGTGAATGTACAAAGACAAGCTCAGCGCCGCTGCTTTTGAGTTTTAATGTCCCTGCACAAGGTGCGCCAAGTGTGACAGCTTTTGGTGGGTTTGTGTGCGCAGAGCTTCGTTATGAGCGCACACAGCAGCGGGGCTACGACTGAGACTTGGGGATCGGCCACCCCCACTCGGCTGTCCCGTCGGCCTCCTTTCGAAATCCAAAAAAAAAGGTCAATTGCACCTTGTGACCGCCTCGCACCTGCGCAAAATTGCTCAGCTCAGCACGGCGCGGCTAAGCATTTCTCCAAACAAAACAGAAAAAAAAAGAAAAACAACACGGCGACATGCATAGCGACCGCATGGCTGCGGACCTCTCGCAAATTTCCAATTTGTCGGCTGTCGGACACGCATTCACCGCCGGCTGTCCCTGCGTCCTCCCCGTGCAGCTCGAACCGAAGGAGCCGGTTCAACCAGCCAAGCAGCGTACAAGATCGATCCCTTGGAACTGTCGCCTTCCCAATATACACAGCTCCTCGACGACGACGACGGCGACATACAACAGAATGTGAAGCGTCATCCACTCTGGTTGAACTCAAGTGGCAACCAGGCGCGCCGTTCGCGCTAAAGCCCTGACAGCGGCAAAATCGGAATTTCCGGCTAGGTATCAAGGGCCACGAACACGCTCATTCCAACCTCGCACGCACCTGTCTCTCGCTTCTCTTGCCCTCGATCCAACAGAGCGGGAGCCAAGCAACTGACGATCGAACGCCGTGGTCGGGGTGGCCTATTGCTGCTGGCGAGAAGTAGGAGTAACGGCAGAGCATGCTGCTTCTCTGCTCGCCCTCGTCCTTTTTTTTCCGGTCAGTGGGCCCTGCAGGAAATGTCCGCGGAGCGCACCTCATTTCCGCGAATCAGACGCATCCTATTTCCGGGCAAGCTGTCGAGCACTCGCTCTCGCATCGAATGGCTCGATCATTCACCAGTCATGTATACTCCTGTAGCCATTCATTCGCCTTGCCATCTGGTCCGTGACAGATTGGTCCTGCGAGACAGCGACCACTGTACCCTCCGAAGAAGTGGGCTCAAGCGTGCCTGAATGGGAACTGACCGTGCTCGAAAGACCATCACGTGAACCGAGGTGATGGCTGTCCCTGCTGGACCATGGCAGACATGGCTCATGACTCGACACGTTGACGAGCGCATGTGGCCGACTTCGCTTTTCATGCTCCCGTTGTCGACCATATGCGATCCCGCTGGTGTTGCCATGAGCTACAGAGACGCGGGCAGCAAGCATGGACGGATGCCTCTCCTCCGAATCCAAGCCTCGTCGCGATCTCGAGCGCCCCTCTTCGGACGCTCGCCCGAGCAAGCCGACTGGATTTTTCTTGGCTGCTGTTAGCCCACGTCGGCTGCACAAATTAAGCGAGTTGAAAGCTTTGTGAAAATGTTTGCCGTAACATCTTTCAGAAATCGTGATCGACCGCGCTGTCCTGCGTCGTAGACCCTGGGCGGCACAGACGCACGGCTCAGTACCTCCTGACGGTGCAAACCTCCACTTGGTTCTTCCACGCTCACATCCGCGTACCGCTCGGCTGAGCTGCTCACGACATCCACCTTCACTCACAACCACATCACACCACTCGCCAACTACACACTCGGATCCACTGCGGTCATCGCTGCACCTTCAACATGATCGTGCGAGTACGCTCCAAGGACGGCAACTTCCGCTTCGAGCTCCAGCCCACCGATGACGCCGTCAAGCTCATCCAACAGGTGCTCGACACCATGCCCAACGCAGATCCAGAGTCCCTCACTTTTTCCAATCAGCCCAGAGGTGGAGAGTTCAAGGCGGACACGCTCAAGGGCAGCACTCTTGGAGAGCTCGGTATCGGTCATGGCCACCTGCTCTTCGCCGCGTACACTGAAGCTGCTGCTGCGGTTGCGTCTTCGTCAGCCCCAGAGGCTGCGCCCTCTTCCTCCGCCACGTCGACCTCTGCTCCTATTCCTTCACACACGGCGATCACCTCCGCCTCGGGCGCGTCCTCGACCTCTGCCGCATCTCGGCCAAAAAAACCGTGGGAGACCGCCAAGGAGCACAGCGTAGACACGTACTGGGAGGCCCAGGAGGGCAAGATCACCCGCAAAAAGGACTCGCAATTCTGCCGACACGGTCCCATGGGAATGTGCGACTACTGCATGCCCCTCGAGCCCTACGACTCAAAGTACCAGACCGAAAACAACATCAAGCATCTCTCCTTCCACGCCTACCTGCGCAAGCAGGACATCGCCACCAACAAGCCCGCCCAGTCCTTCATCCCGCCACTCGAAGAGGTCGATTACACCGTCAAGAAGCCTTGTCCGTCAGCCACCCATCTCAGCTGGCCCGCAGGCATTTGCACAAAGTGCCAGCCCTCGGCCATCACGCTCCAGCGCCAGCCGTACCGCATGGTCGACCACGTCGAATTCGCCCACCCCGACCTCATCGAAAACATCCTCACCTTCTGGCGCAGCACCGCAACACAGCGCTTCGGCTTTCTTCTTGGCCGCTACGAGGCGTATCCCGACGTTCCCATGGGCATCAAGGCCGTTGTCGAGGCGATCCACGAGCCGCCGCAGGAGGGAGAGCTTGACGGACTCACCCTCGGCGTGCCCTGGGAGAAGCAGCCTCGCATCGAGAAGCTCGCCAAGATGTGCGGCCTCGAGTTTGTCGGCATGATCTACTCGGATCTCAGCCCCGCCGACCCGACCCACAAAGATTCGTCGCTCGCCGGAAAGGTCATGTGCAAGCGCCACAAGGACAGCTTCTTCCTCTCGGGCATCGAGACCATCTTTGCAGCGCAGCTTCAGCTCGGCAACCCCAACCCGTCTCGCTTCAGCTCCTCGGGCCGCTTCAACTCCAAGTTCGTCACCTGTATCCTGAGCGGAACCGACGAGGGCGCCATCGACGTCTCGGCCTACCAGATCAGCGAACAGGGAATGGGCATGGTTCAAGCCGACATGATCGAGGCGAGCGTCAACCCCAACATCATCCGCGTCAAGCCCAGCGAGGGCGAGAGGTACGTCCCCGAAGTCTTCTACCGCTACACCAACGAGTACAAGATCGACGTCAAGGAGAGCGCCAAGCCCACCTTCCCCGTCGAGTACCTCATCGTGAATGCGACGCACGGCTTCCCCAATGCGCCCAACCCGACCTTCCTCAGCTCGGCCTTCCCCATCGAGAACCGACCCGGCCTGCATGATCAGGACCTCACCGTAGCCCTCACCAGCATCGGCAAGATCGTGGGTCAGAAGGAGTTGTTCCCTATCGGCGACGGCGTTGAGAGCACCAAGGGCAAGTCTCGGGCCGACGACGACCAGGTGCGCGAGAAGCTCGTGGGCATCCTGAGCGACTGGCATCTGCTGGCTTTCCTCGACACCAGCGGCTTCCTGGACCAGGACGACATGGCGGCGCTGTGCAAGCTCGCCACTGCGCACGATTCGGGCGCCGCACTCGACGCGCTCCTTCTGCGTCCGGGCTGGCAGACGCTCATGGCGCTTGCCCGAGAACATGCGCCGCAAGCAGGCAGCAGTGGCAACAACAATGCTGCTCCTGCCAAGGATCCCTTTACTTATGACGGGGGTATGGAGTCCGATGACGATGTCGGCTTTGACGATGCCAACGAGGACTTTTACGACGACGGCGAGGGCGACGATGATGACGATGTGCAGATCTCACACGTGCGTCGCGCGTCGGCACGGAATGAAGCCGCCGACACGGACGCAGCTACGGCGGCAGCGATTGCGGCTGCGAGCGCAGAGGACGCGCCCGCGGGCGTCAAGGTATGCTCCCACTGCACGTACCACAACGAGCCCTCGGCGAGCGACTGCGAGATCTGCGGATTGCCCCTTTAGACTTGCAAGTGGAGAGCAATTCAAGTGGACTTTGATCATTCGGCGCCATGTGTGCCGTGAATGATGGTCGTGCGGTTCATGTGGGCGAGTGCTGGTGGATGCGCCGCGACGGAAACCCACTTCGTTCATATGCATGCAGGCGGGTAGGATACGCAGAGGGGACGTTATCAAGACGATGTGGGGGGTGAGTCAATGTCGAGGTCCGACTTCATCTGACCTGCGCATGAGGAGGGTGGGACCAGCCAAGGGGCGGCCGTGGTGAGGTGGGTTTGAGTTTGGAGCGAGGACCATACATAAGGCGGCATTCTCCTGATTGCCTTGTGCTTCTCTCTCTCCTTCTGGAGGCTACTCTACGAACTCGATTCACGATGCAGACCAAACTTTCATGGCTTTTGGTGCTGGGTGCGGTTTCGCACTGGCTGCCCTCGGTGGCTGCGGATGGTCAACTGCAAGATCCCAACCTGTACGTGGTGCGCGACTTCAACATTGTGTTGACGGACAACACCAAGGTCAGTGACCTAGCATGCTGCATGGGTCTATCTGGCGAGATCAAGTCGGCACCCGAGTATCAGTGCTTTGACCACCAGGATCTGCAGATGGGTACGGCTCCTGGAAGTCGACGCGTCGGCATCCAGTTCTGCCACCATCTGCCCGGTTCGGACCCGCAAGCTGCTACCGACGCCTTCAACAACGTCTGCAAGCAAGGTACGGGCGAGGTCATCCAGACCGACAAGAACTATTGTCCACAGATCTGGCCCAACTTCAAGGACGACTACAAGAAGCCTGCCCCACCTGCTCCTGCCGTCGATCCCAAGCCTGCCCCCGCTCCTACCATCCCGGATGCCACGGGCAAGTTGACCAACGACAAGGATGGCTTCAAGCTGGAGGGCACTTTCATGTACTCGCTCGTCGATTACGCCATCACGCGCAGTTTGGCATGCTGTAGTGGTGCCACCGCGCCGATTGTCAAGCCGCAAAAGTACAAGTGCGCCCAACGCAAGGTGGCCAACTCGGTCTTCATGTCGCAGTGCACCAGCATGCTTCCCACCATCACTGGGGCCAAGAAACTCCAAGGCTACTCCACCGTCAATGGCGATGCTGGCGCCATCGTCGATGACAAGACCAAGAAGCAATGCAGCGATATGTGGACCAATGCGATGTCGTACACCTACGGATTCTGCAAACTCGACTTTGACATGGCCGCTGACGATGCCACCACCGCCTTCAATGCCGACTGCGCAAACAAGGGCGGCCAGTCCAAGCCACCCCACAACGGCATGTGTCTGTGGAACGTCGACAATGCCGCCGCAAGCAGCTAGTCCAGCCTCCACCTCAAGTCCGGTTTCCAACTCTCTTCGTTGTTGATTCGCCTTCGAGATTTCCGATTTGCACCGTTTCGCCTTCTATGAATGCTCAGACTTTTTTGCCACGAGATGCGACTGCAGCAGAGATGGTATATTGCATGTTGCCGCTGTCTAGGAGGTTGGCGCGACACGCACCGCGTTGGCACCCGTAGCCATGAACTTGGGCATCTTGCGTTCCTTGCCGCTGTTGCGACTCCACGCCGCCTGGCCCCCCTGCTCTGCATCCTCTGTCCTGCTCCTCTTGGCGGGTCTTGCATCTCCCTCCTCCTTGGCACCTGCCCTCTGCTTGCGCGCCTCGTTCTTGGGCGCCACGTACTTGCCATGCAGCTTCTGGCGCTCCTTTTCCAGCCCGGCGTTCTTCTCCTTGATCTTGTTCTGCCTGTTTTCGCTCTTGCCTCCACCACCGGCGGTGAGCTCGACGTTGATCTTGCGGCCCTCGAGCATGGTGTGGTGGAAGTTGAGTGCCTTGCGCAGGGCGTCGGACGACTTGAACTCGACAAACGCACACCCCTTGGACTGCGGCTGCGTCGGATCTTGCGCTTTGCCCTTGGCGATCGACTTGCGCTTCGAGGCCGGCAGGTTGGCGAGTGCATTCGGATCCGCCTTGCGTGTCAGCAGGCGCACCGTCGGCACCTCGCCACACGTCTGGCCGAAGTGCTTGGCAATGTTGTCCGTCGTGGTGGTGAATGCCATGTTGCCAACGAAGAGGATGAATTTGGACCCCTTTGCTGACGCTGCCGAAGGCGTGGCCTCGGCTACAGCAGCAACGGCTTGCTCGGACGCCACCTCGCCGTCGTCACCGAACGTCGTCTTCGTGGCAGGCGCTGCTGGTGCTGCGATCTTGGTCGCCTTCGCCTTGGGCTTCAACTCGGATTTGGATGCCTTGGTGCTGCTGCTGGGGGTGGGCTCGGGGACGATACCAGCTGCAGCCGCCGCCTCGGCTTCAGCCGCAAGTCGCTTGCGCTTCTTGTTACGCTTCTCCTCCTTGACCGGTGCTTCGACAGGCGCCGCCTCGGCCGCAGCAGAGGGTTCCGCAACGAACTCCTTGGCCTTATTTTTGGACTCTTTCTCCTTCTTTTTTGATGGCACCTTCGTCTCCTCCTTGGTGCTCGTTACTGCCGCGCTGGTCGAGGGTGCATCGTCGGGATCCACAACATCGTCCGGGGTGGCGGGATGGTCGGCGATGGCGGCAGCCTTGCCCTTCTTGCCAGCCTTGAACTGTGCGGCCTTCTGCTGCTTCTTTGTGAGCTTTGCCTCCGCCATATCTGCCGATGTATGTCCTCGTAGTGGTTGGGTGGATGTGGTACCGGGGAAGAGGAGAGGTGGTTTCGGCTCTGCGTTCAGGGTTCAGTTGCTTCTCGTGCCGCGAAGAAGTGGGAAAAAAATCCGCACCAGCGCCTTGGAATTTTTGGCGCCAAACCTCCACGCCACTTTTTGAATTCATCCACTCAGCATGACTAAGGCCGCTGCTCCACTCCACTTGGCAGTCCGCAACGCGAAGAATCCTCGCCCAGAGTCGGAGGCTTCCATCAAGCTCTTGCCTGCCTTCCAGACATCATACCGATTCTCGACCCCACATAGACTCGCCAAAATGTCCGGACTCGCCGATGCTGATCAGAAGGGTAAGCTCGTTTCTCGCTGCCTATGTTCTTGTTTATGCTACGAGCGCTGACACGTCTTTCGTCGCTTCGGGTTGCTGCGGATGTAGAGCTGCAGACGTTCCTCGACGCCGAGCAGGCCAAGGCTCGCGTGCAGTCGTCGATCCACACATTCACAGACCGATGCTGGGACCAGTGCATCAAGTCGTCCATCGGCTCCAGCTTCGGCAGGGGCGAGGAGGCTTGCCTGAGCAACTGCGTCGAACGGTAAGCACTTCATCGCCTTTCCGGTCCTTCACAGGACGCCACTACGGCCCACTAACGAACGTCGCTAACATTGTGCATCCGCTTGACCTTGTGCATTCTTCCTCTGCTTCTTGTACCCGCAGCTTCCTGGACACTTCCTTGTTCATCGTAAGTAATCGTGGATATGCTTCGCACGCGACCTCTCCGTCACGGACTGGGTTGCTGATACTCGACCTTGTACACCTCGATCTTCTCGCTCACAGGTCAACAAGCTGCAGGAACAGCGAGGACAGATGTCGTGATCGCTACGCTTTCTGCGCCTGTAACAGTAGAATCTTCCAAAAATCAACACCGCCACTCGCAACCATGATGCCTTCAACTTTCACCTTGTGTGGGGTTGTCTCAACTTCGAAGGGATATTCGGCGTCGTAGGGATGAACCGCGACCATGTAGCTGCATTGTAGTAGCAGGCTTGATGCAAGGAGCCAAGTCGCCAGCCGACAGCTTGCATACCGCTGCAAGTCGCACATGGCGGCTGCAAACGGCGTCTAACTTGGAGCGTCCCTGACGGCTTTGCTTTTCGCACGTGCCTGGAGGACCGATCAAAGGCCAAATCTGACCAATATCGGGCAGGTCTTGGCCGTAGACCGGGACAAGCAGTTCCAGACAGCTTCAAGGGCCTTGTGCCGATGACGCGGGCCGGCAACCTCGATGGTGCAGCCTAGAGTTGATATAACCCGACGAGCGAGGAGAGCCGCGCGCCGGGTTTTGAGGGAAAATAAAATCGGCAGCCCAGCACAGCGCAGGTTTTTCGCACCGCCAAGTTTGACAGCCGCACCTAGCGGCGGACGTCTGCGGCCATGATGACTAGCGTAGAGTTGATGTCGCCCCCTCTGGCTAAGCCGCCCACGCCTTCGGTGACCCGAGTGGAAAGACGCTTCGAAAGCTGCGAATGGAAGCCGTTGATGCGCTTCCCGAAGGCTCACAGTTGCTGTAGGGACGGTCAACGCTTCCTGCGTCCTCTCCCTCCTCACCATCGTCTCTACCTTCTGTTCGTTCTTTCTTTCAAGGTCATCTCGACAATCTCTGGTAGATTGTGGCTTCTCTTCGGGCTCGCTCAGGTGCAATCTGGTATTGCGCCGTCCTTCGGTACTTGGCATTTTTCTCCGAAAGCGCTTCCTTACGACACATCGTTTGCAGCCCTGCACATCAACAGGCTCTTTCTCGACGAAAGACACTGGATGGCTCACAGCTCCATCTGAATGAGCGCAATGGACTCGGAAGTATCAGAGAAGCGAGGACGAGGCGGCCGGGGGGTGGAGTTTTGCTGTCTCTCGTATCCGCTCGTCAAGGCCGGGGCGTACCTGATTCCAATCGAGTTCGGCTTTGTAGCAGGGTGCATTATCGTGCTCAGCACAACGACGCCCACGATCGTGGCTGCGGTCGATACGCTGCCGCACATCTTTTCGCTCGTGCTGCTCATCCTTGCGATCATCACACTGGCTTGGCAGGTGATTGGGCTGGCAACGGTGCGGATCGAGATGAGCTCCATCTACAGACTGTACATCCGGCTCAACTTTCTGCTTGTGCTCATCACCGCCGCCACTGCGGCGATCGGCACCGTGGTGATTGCGACCAAACACAAGCAGTCGACCGAGGTGTGCACGCGCATCTACGGCAATCCGCCGTTGAACTCGAGCAATGGCGTGTCGGTCCCAGGGCTGGATTCGTTTGCTCCCGGCGAGCATATCTGCAACTACGTCATGTGGGCCCAGACTGCAGCTATGGGTGGCCTCACACTCATCCTCTTCCTGACTCAGGTATGTTGTAGCAAGATCGCACCGACAAGGCTACAGACAGATGGACTGACGCATGGTGAAGCCGGATATGCGAACAGACGTACATGTGCTATGTTCAGCGCGCTTATGGCCAAAAGCAGCGTAATGCACTGCAGCAGCTGCAGTATCACGATGAGGAAGAGTAAGTGGGCTCCAGTATCGTTGCGGCCGGTAATGATCCAAGCTGACGATCCTTTGGGTTGCTTCCAACAGCGCGGACGGAGACACTTCGTCAGCCGCCCTGACTGGCGGGCGACGTGCAAGCTCCCGTTATGAGTACTAGTTAAACAGCCCTGTAGAATAGCCTTTGCCGCAATGTGAGCGAGTGGTAGAAGTGCAGTTTGTTGCGAGAGGGCATGCTTCTGGCAATCGAGATGGTACAACGCTCATCCCGATTTGGCCGTTCCGGATCGGGAAGGCACGGATCCGAAGGCCGTGTGAGCATTGAAGGGGTGCTGATTGGCGGCGCTGCGCGCGTCAAGGCGGGCGAGTGCTTTGGTCAGCAAGCCAGGAAAATCCTCGCGAAATTCCAACTGCAACGCTGCCAAGTGGCGACCAGCGGCTACGTACGGTAGCCTTCAGTTCGCATTAGCACATCTTTGGCCCACAGCAGCGCAGTCTATCGCGCGTCCGCCCGCCCGCCAGCCAGGGAGAGCCGTCGCCGCTTCTGCGAGCAGCCGCCAGTGCCACCCGGGCGCAACTGGTTCGTGTGGATCTGGAATATGTGATTTTACGGACTCATCGCTTCCTCACCACCATCTCCATCCTACAGATCATACATCATGCAGCGAGCTAGTAAGTGCTTCCGTCGCCACAGAAGACGAAGAGAATTCCGAGATCTGCTGCTGTTGTGCTTCATCGCGATTGCATCGATTGCTGACCATCGTCAATCTTGCTCCATCTCAATCCCGACCATTGATCGATCTTTGCACCGACCATCGCATCCGTCACCACATTTGCATTATAACTCATCAAATTCTCGCCAATCTCTCTGCCGCCACCGATCCCGACTTCGCCAACCACTGCCCTGCCATCACTCGCCACTGCCACACCTGCAGGTTTGGTCGCTCGAGGCGCCGCTCGCTCGGCAAAGAGCCTCAACAATGTCGCCAAGATCGCCTGCGCCACGCCATCGCAGGCGCGCGGCCTCGCCACTGTCACCGACACGCCCGTGCGCTCGTTCGGTGGCCTGCGCGACCAGGACCGCATCTTCCAGAACGCCTACATGCGCCACGACCACGGCCTCAAGGGTGCCAAGGCGCGCGGTGACTGGCACCGCACCAAGGACATCCTGCTCAAAGGCCACGACTGGATCATCCAGCAGATGAAGGACTCGGGCATGCGCGGCCGTGGTGGTGCCGGATTCCCCTCGGGTCTCAAGTGGAGCTTCATGAACAAGCCCGGCTGGGAGAAGGACCCGCGCCCGCGTTACCTCGTGATCAACGCCGACGAGGGCGAGCCCGGTACCTGCAAGGACCGCGAGATCATGCGCGGTGACCCGCACAAGCTTATCGAGGGCTGCCTCGTCGCCGGCCGCGCCATGAACGCCAACGCCGCCTACATCTACGTGCGCGGTGAGTTCTACCTCGAGGTGGCGCACCTGCAGCACGCCATCAAGGAGGCGTACGCCGACGGCCTCATCGGCAAGAACGCATGCGGATCCGGCTACGACTTTGACGTCTACGTACACAAGGGAGCCGGCGCGTACATCTGCGGCGAGGAGACCGCGCTCATCGAGTCTCTCGAGGGCAAGCAGGGCAAGCCGCGTTTGAAGCCGCCCTTCCCCGCCGACGTGGGTGTGTTCGGCTGCCCCACCACCGTGGCCAACGTGGAGACGGTCGCTGCGGCGCCCACCATCATCCGCCGCGGACCGACGTGGTTCGCGGGCTTTGGCCGTGACAAGAACCAGGGCACCAAGCTGTTCGCCATCTCGGGCCACGTGAACAACCCGTGTGTGGTGGAGGAGGAGATGTCGATCCCGCTCAAGGAGCTCATCGAGCGTCACTGCGGCGGTGTGCGCGGAGGCTGGGACAATCTGCTGGGTATTGTGCCCGGTGGATCGTCGGTGCCCATCCTGCCGAAGCACAAGTGCGAGGAGGTGCTGATGGACTTTGACTCGCTGCGCGAGAACCAGTCGTCGCTGGGCACGGGAGCGGTGATTGTGATGGACAAGAGCACGGACGTGGTGCAGGCGATCTCGCGCTTCGCCAAGTTCTACAAGCACGAGTCGTGCGGCCAGTGCACGCCGTGCCGTGAGGGCACCACCTGGCTCGCCAACATGATGGAGCGCTTCGAGGAGGGGCGCGGCAACAACCGCGAGATCGACATGATCTACGAGCTCACCAAGCAGATGGAGGGCCACACGATCTGTGCGCTCGCCGATGCGGCCGCCTGGCCGATCCAGGGTCTGCTGCGCTGGTTCCGCCCCGAGATCGAGGAGCGCATGCGTCTGTACCAGGAGAAGAACGGCCCCGTGCTCGTCGGCGGCAGGAGGCTCAAGGACATGGACCCGGACTACGCCTTCCCCGCCAACATGGGCACCCCGCTCTCGCCCAAGGCGCTCACCCAGTAAATCTCCGCGTATCGTTCCCACTGTAGTTGCATGCTGCTATCCTCAGCGAGTGTAAATGCAATCCTTTGACCGCAGTTCTATCTCCGCAGCGCCACTCTGCTCCACGATGTCAGTTTGCTCCGCGACGCCACTGAAGATGAGGCCCTGTGACAATGATTCGTACGAGAGCGAGGGAGAGTTAGGAGTCTAAGCGTGGGAGAGAGCTTGTTTTTAGGCGAGGGGGAGGTGTCTATGAGTTAAAATTGGCGAGGTGGAGTAGGGAGCATTCTGAGCTGAGCAAAGCCGGTCAATTGCTAATTGCGGTGGCGCGCGCGCGCGCGCGCGCGCAAGAAAGGCGTTGCGGAGGCCGAGGGCGGCGTGTTCGCTAAGCATCGGACTGACGTCAAGCAAGTGTCGGCGTTTTCTTTTACCCCACACTTTCTTTCGGCGCCTTAGGCAATGAGCCTTAGGCAATGCCACCCTCTTCGATGCGGCACGGTGCGTCGGGGTGAGCGGTCAGGTGGGCCGTGATTCTGGAACAGCGCCAGAGAAGCAGCCGATGCAGTCTGGAGGCGTGGTTGGATTGCGTGCCGAGTAAGGGCAGGGGTCACCGTCATCGCTGACCAACACCTTGCCGTCCGTGCACTCGATCCTCACACTCGGCCATGTATATAACACCCCCACCCTACCCCTGGGCGTTTGCATCATACATCATCACCGCTCTCGAATTGGATCGATTTAAGCTCTCTTCACTTTTCACTCTTTACCACAGCCACTCGTTTTTCGTTCACAATGATGCATTCTACACGACTGGTTAGCAGGGCGGGGTTGCAGCTTTCGCGCGGGCTTCACACGACACCTCGTATGCTTTCCGCACGACCGGACACGATGTCTGGCTTCCGCGATGACCACTCTCACGGTCCTGTGCCGGGTGCGCATCCATCGCCCGAGATCAACGTTGCCCGCACCCGCGCCACCGTCCGCGTGCTCGTTCCATCCGTAGCACTCATGGTCGGATTCATCGGTTGGTGGTTCATCGGCCACAACGACCGCGACCACCGCAAGGAAACCATCGACGTTGGACCCGAAGGTTTCAACAAGCTCAAGGGCTCCAAACATCGCGCTGCCCAACAACTCGCCGACGGCACCAGAAACCCAGACGGCTCCCTCGCAAAGTAAAATTCTCCAATCTCAAATCTCTTCTCAGAAGCATTCCCAGAATCCTCGCAATCCAATCTTGTTCTCTCGCATATCCTCGCAATTGAATCTTGTTCTCGTCTCGACCTCGTGTCTGTGTGCACTATCTTAGGGCCCTTTCATCCCCCCTTGCTCCCAGCCAATGTCATCTTCATCTTCCGAGCCCAGTGCAAATACATCTTGGTCGTCCTCAACCCCACTCCCCGCACGCGCGGGTTGCACTGGACTCCTCCGCGCCAAACGCAGCTCGTTCATCAGCAGAGCCTCCGTCTCGATCCCCGCTGATCCAGCGTCGTTGCTCGCAATGGCGTGGGTGCGCGTGTGCTGGGGGCCGAAAGGGCCGAATTCCTAATGCTCATCCCGCCGCACCTCCTCGTACAGCCGTCGATCCGGAGGCGCCTCGCTCTTCCCCCCGCCCAAGAGCCTGCCCAGCCATCGCAAAGGCCCCGAGCCGGCGCCCAAGCCAAAGAACGACTGGGCAGCGCGACGTTCTTCCGCCGCGACTCGGGCTGCGGCAGCACGTGCGGCACGCTCCTCTTCCGACTGCAGACGCGGGTGGCTCGAGATGGACCTTCGAATCGGCCTACTGTACCCGTCGCCATCGGAACCATCCGCACTCCTCCGCCTCGCACCGCTGCTCTCCTCCTCGTCGTCCTCGTCCGAGTTCTCGTCGTCTTCGTCTTGCGGTACGTTGATCTCGTCGCCAAACAGCGCACCGATCTCCTCGAGCGGCACACCGGACGTCTCGGGGTAGCAAAAGTACACGGTGACAAAGGCAAGCAGCGCGAAACCGGCGAGCAGGATGTACAGCCGCCACCCGATCCTCTCCATGAGGATGGGCGTGAGCTCGCCGACGAGCCAGTTGAACGACCAGTTGGTGGCGGTGGCGAGCGAGGCGCCCTTGGCGCGGAACGCCAGCGGCATGATCTCGGGCGGAAAGAGCCACGGGATGGGGCCCCAGCTGTAGCCGAACACGGCGTTGTACACGATGATCGAGGCAACGACGGCCTGGGGCGTGTAGTCGCGGTCGAGGTAGAGAAAGTAGCCGCACGAACACAGTGCGGCCGCGCAGCCGATGGCGCCCGAAAGCAGGATGGCACGTCTGCCCCACAAGTCGACCAGGAACCACGTGGGGACGGTGGCGAGCGTGTAGATGATTCCGTTGACGCCCGTCATGAGCAGCGCATCGCGTCCGATCCACCCAGCGGACTCGAGGATCATGGGCAGATAGTAGCATACGCTGTTGATGCCGACGAGCTGCGCAAACATCTGGGAGGACATGCCGATGAGCGTGCGGAAGCGGTACTGGGTGAGCATGCGGCGGTACGAGTTGTCGCCCTGCTTGCGCAGGTAGAGCACGTTTTCCTTGATCTCGCGGAACTCGAGCTTGGCGCGCGGCTCGTTGGGGTCGCCGGCGCCGTGCAGGTCGGCGAGGACGCGCATGCCCTCCTCGTCCATGTCCTTGTCCAGCAGCCATCGCGGCGACTCGGGCAGCAGCACCGAGCCAAACGCGAGCGTCGTGCCGATGATCACCTGCAGGCTCAGCGGCAGTCGCCACGAGAGGTCGCTGTCGATGAACGACGCAAAGTAGTCGACCCAGACGCTGCTGGCATAGCCGATGATGTTGCCCGTGAATTCGATGCAGGCGAGCTTGCCGCGGTTCTCGGCTGGCGAGATCTCGGACTGGTAGGTGGGGACGATCATGCTGAGCACGCCGACGCCGAGGCCCGAAACGACGCGGCCGATGAGCATAGTGTCGTAGCCCGAAGTGAAGGTCTGGATGGCGCCACCGGCCGAGAAGATGACGGCGCCCCAGAAGAGGGTGTTTTTGCGACCAAAGATGTCGGCGAGCCTTCCGCAGGCGAGACTGGTCACGAGGGCGCCGAGTTCGAGCGAGGCGACGAGGGTGCCGATCTCGTAAGCGGAGGGATGGCTGAAGTAGGCCTTGAAGTAGGGACCCGTGATGATGCCGGACATGACGCCCTGGTCGTAGCCGAAGAGGAACACGCCGAGGGAGGCGAAGCAGGTGACGAAGAGCATGAGGCCGTCGCCCTTGATGCCGATCTTGGCGAGCGGCGAGGTGTCGTGGTCCATATTGACGGAGGGAGCACGTACGGTGCCATTGGAGCGCAGCGAGCTCGAGGTGTTGGAGCGCTGGCGGCGATGAGCGCTGTCACGAGGAGTGGCGCTGCCATTGTCGTAGGAGAGCCGCTCGACCTCGCCCGAAGGTCGAGTGGAAGCACGCGACGGGTTGGCGGACATGATCAAGCTGCCATTGGGGTGTGAATCACGGCGAGCTCAGCGGGGAGGCAGGTGAGCTGAGCATGGAATGGACTGGAGTGGTCGCTGCAAGATCCGGTTCGAGCGATAAGAAGCGTGTTGGTCACGAGTGCAAAACGATGAGCTGAGCTGGTCGCGCCGTACTGTATGTGGTCGGCACTGGCGGATGAGGTGTGGTGGGTGGGGGCAGTGGTGGGATATGAAGATGCACCAGTCGCGTGGTCGAGAGCGGGTGTGATGGGCTTGGCTGAGTTGCGGAGAGAGCGGAGAGAGCTGTTGCATGCTTCCCATGTGGTGCTGCAGAGGGGCGGCTGTCTTGCCCCGCTTAAGCGCCTCCTCCTCGCCTCTTTTGCATTGCATGCGAACTGACGCCGACCTGCGCACGAGCATCCTTTTTTCGCCAAGTCAGGAACGCCGCTCACATCGCGGTCTAACATGATCACTTTTTTTGACAATTCGAGGTCATGTTAGAGTTCCAAACAGGCGCCGAAGCCCGACGCGTCGAGCTGTGTCGGCGAGGTGTTGGTCTCGGTGCATGCGCGAGCCAGCCGTGCAGGGATGATGGCGTGGGCACAAAGGAGCGATCCGAGCCCCACCCACTGTCGCCTTCGACACCTGCCACCATCCCTCTCGTTGCGACAACGCTCTCGTTCGCTGCTGCTCTGCACGCCTCACAACCGCCGGCGATGCGC